CAGTTCGGCAATTCCTCGTCATCGGAATTCACCTGCCCGTAGGCCCCTTCACCGTCATCACGACGCCGCTACCGCCAACATTACTCACCATAATCAAATTGAAGCGATACTCTAAGCTTACACAATGACCAATGTTAAGAACATCAAAACAAGCAAGTAATTTCCTATTGGCTGCAAATTTCGAACCCAATAATGCTAACCAAGATTAAACCCCACAAACATAATCAAATGCAGCAATACCCTAATCGATATAAATTGAGAGAGGAAAATAGCAGCTAAAAAACCACCACAGGAAGCCAATTCGAAAGCAGAGTTGACTTCCCTTAACAGAACCTGAGCGTGGAGAAAAACCACTATGCATTGCTGTTTTCGCCTTGCGAATGGGCGGAGTGGCTCGGGGACTGCCGCTGGACCAGTCCCGGTACAGATTGAACAGATTCGGAGTTTTTGCATGCCTCCATACCGTTTCGATTTGCTCGCTAGGGTTGGCACAGCTTCTTTTGGCGGAAGGCGATCTATACGGATTAATCCTTCGATTTCAATAAGAAAGCCATTTACCAGCATAGCAGATGGCTTCTTTTTCCTTTCAATAAGATAAGAAAGCCATTGGGAGAAGAGGTCTGTTTGACTATGCACATCTCTTTCTTCTGAGGTTTGGTGTGGTCATTCGTCGTCGTTGACTAGTTGGGTTTATACCGACCTATGAATTGATTGATCCACCAATGATTGATATGGAATCCCATGCCTCTATAGATCCGGTGACCACAGGGTGTTACACAAGAAAGGTGGCAAGACTCGAACTAAAGGAAGGGTACGGAGTTTATTCTCGCACCGAATTCGAAGAGCTAGTTGAATCGTGGGCCATTGACAAACATGCAGTGATTCACCGAATTTGCGCAAGTATGTCCACACCCCTCAAACTGACTTGACATTCTAAATCATATTATACTTTGATAGTGCATGTAATTTGTTGGGTGTATTTTGAAAAATCACAATAGTAAATTATAGCTTTCATTAAATTAATCTGAATTTAGAAAACGAAGAGAGATATATTTTAATCTTTGAAGATAGACTATAATATGACTTGGGATAAGGTACAAAATCCAATCCAATGATCCTGATTTGGGAAAGGAAAATCTAATGGTCCATATTATAAACTAGCTTTTTACCCAGCCCGTTGGATGGAGAGATTTATTTTATAATTTATATGTTTAAATCATTTTGGATCTTCTAAATATTTTGTAACAGAGTTTGTAATATGTCTATATTGAAATTTCCAATATTTAGCACACTCACTTGTGATGCTTCGGTTTTCGAATCATAAATTATACCGCTGTCACGTCCCATTTAGAACTTATGTCAAAATTTGTCAACCAAAACACTAATATTTAGCGTACGCCAACCTAAACCACACACACATATATATAGTTCAAGCTAGCGTGCGCTAGGAGTACGTTATACTCTTGCGTCCATACTACCATATGACCATTGAGTTTTACTATTTAGACCCAAATTAACCGAATTTTTTTGGGGCATTATACTATACCCTAACCTCTAATAGGTGAACTCTAGTCCCTAATTCTGTAAGCTCTAATTTATGCACATACTTCGTAATACCTATCTTCTATCGTATCTTGAGTTAAATAAAAATTATAGTATACCTTGATATTACATATACATATATATATATATGTGTGTGTATGTATATTACACTCAAAATTATCAAGAGATCTCGTTTTTACCCCCATAATGACAGAGAACCATTGGGGTTGTCTATTGTTCGATATATAATATATAAAAAGGTAGGGATGGCGGTATCATAGCTCGATATGGTTTTATTATGTTCATCTTATCAGAGGTTATGTAATGTTTTGCTTTTTTGGCTTCTTTTTCATTCTACTTTAGCACCTATGGTTGTGATCGGAGGTATTTAGCCCTCGAAAGGGATTGGGATTTTAGGTCCTTTGGAAATCCAATACACATTCATGATCCTCGAGTTTGGACGAACTCTCGACCAATGTTGTAAAAATTACGACTTTTTAGTGAGAAATTCTTAGTAAAGATACTTCATTATTGGATTTATTCATCCATATTGAAACTTGACACACACTGTAAACCTCATGATGACTAAATTCTCTAATCTCGACTCATTTTTCATTTTGGATGTTTTTTTTTAATCCAGACACTTAAATTTAGTATATTATATAATATGTATCCATTGTTAATTTTTGAAGTTTATACTAAACCTCAACCGGTGGTCATTGTTTATATGTCGACTTAGAATCTCAATCTAAGGCACACACACACACTATCGAGGATTTTTGGTCTTAACATGGTCGTTGAATGTGTAATTTTCAAAGATTTTATCGCTTATATATTAATAATTGATAAAGAGTGTCTCCAATAAACACATATTTTAAGTGCATTTAAAATGCTTTATCATTTGAACAATATCAGTGTATTTCATTTGATTATTTGCATTAACTTATTATCTTATACAACATATATTAATTCTTTTTTCTCGAGTCTAGACGAACTGAAAACCAATTTTGAGAGTTGAGATTATTGGATAAAGATACTTGATTTCTGGATAAATATGTTTATCCCAATTGACGATCTTACTAAAAATTGCCAACCTTTATTTGGTAAATGCCTATGTTAGTAGTTGATGTAACGTGATGTTTATCGTAGATTCTGAACAAAGATTTTTCTAACCTTCACATCTATTATTTTTCAATGAATCTTGTGTCTCATCCTAGGGTATGAAGTCAAAGTTCGTCAACAATCATACTTAAGTCATTTTGAAATTTTGATTTATAATAAGACAACTCCAAGTCTGAAAGAAAATTTCTTATCATACGACTTAGAACCTCAATAGAGCTTGCTCAATCAACATGATATAGAGCAAATATTATTAATGTGAACTTAGGTCACATTATCAAATTATTGCACATGCGATTCCTCTTCATTTGTTGAATTTAAGGTAGAACATGATCTGAATGAATAAGAATTCTTTTTAAATAAATAACTGTAACTACTCGATCAAGATTATACTCTGACATTTTGCTAAATAATACTGTTTTATTTTATAGATATATATTGTATGAATAAGAGAGTGTTTCATTGCAACAAAATATAAAGTAATTTAGTTTATTTTTCAAAGGTAATTGAATGACAAATGTTTATTTTCTCTCTTTTCATATATATTTTGGTTTAATCGATTAAAAATTAATTTTTTATGTGTATGTTTGTTTATTTATTCATCAAAATGTAACTTATCATTGAATTTTAGTAAAAATGAGTAGAAAATTTATTTCATAAGGTTTAATCAGATATTTTTTATTTAAATAAATGTGATATATGTCACTCTCTTTTTTCTTATTTATATTTTGTTTATTTAAAAAATTAGTATTTATGTATGTTTGGTTAAGTTTATCAACATGTAACTTATTATTAAAGACAAAAAAGAATAAATGGATAAATGAAAAAGAATAATTGAATAAAAGAAATGGAAATATTAAAGAAGAGAGAGGTAGCTCCATAAATACATTAATAACTAATTTTTTGAATGTGATATATGTCACTCTCTTTTTTCTTATTTATATTTTGTTTATTTAAAAAATTAGTATTTATGTATGTTTGGTTAAGTTTATCAACATGTAACTTATTATTAAAGACAAAAAAGAATAAATGGATAAATGAAAAAGAATAATTGAATAAAAGAAATGGAAATATTAAAGAAGAGAGAGGTAGCTCCATAAATACATTAATAACTAATTTTTTGTTTGTAAAAAAGTTGTCCAACTTGACATATTGTGGATCCTCCAATTGCTTATGTGGCAGGAATTTTTTTTTGAATTGTCATAATATATAGTATAGATAGATAGATAGATATAGATAGATAGATAGATAGATGGGCAAAGATAGAAAGTATGAGAGGGAGAGGAAATGGCCGAATTTGCTGTCTAGATGCCCGAATTTGTTGGGAACGCGCGCAGATTTTAAAGTTGCTGTTAATGTTTTTTTCAAATCTCCAACGAAAATTCAATAGACCATAACTCATTCATTTTACATTGAATTTCAAAAAAATTTGCATTGAAATATCATATTTTTTGTTCTCTACAAGATGATATACATTCTTATATTTTTTGGAACAAAAAAATTTAGGTCATCATAACATTGTCATATCACGATATTATCACCGACAGTGGTATGATATCATAATGGTATGATAGTGATATGATACTGGTGTGAAGTCTTATGTTTGACAAAAGAATTTGATGACATCATATCAATGTCATATCATAATATTATCACTATGGTATAATGATAATATCATGATAGGATACTTATATGATGTTGGCATGACAATGATATGATGTTGGTATGAGGTCTTATTTTTGTCAAAACATAACAAAATAAATATGACTATGTAAGTCTTAATGAATGTGTTCTTTATATACGAATATTTTCAATTTTGAATTGAAATGAAAAAGATGAGTCATCATATCACTATTATATCATGATGATATGATTATTATGACAGTGATATGATGTTGTTATAAGGTTTTATGTTAAAAAAATAACAAAATGGATATTACTGTGTAGTTCTTCATGAATGCGTTCTTTCTATACTTATTTTTGGGTAAATTGCAAGGTTGATGACTATGATTACTAAAAACGTTCATGTTTGGTCACTGAAAATATTTAATTACATTTGTGGTCACTATGATTAGTCAAACAGTTCAAGTTTGGTTACTCCTAGTTAATCTCCATCCAACTCCATTAAAAGAGTTTGTTATTTGCTGAGGTGGCAAACAGAATGACCTAGTAAGCCTGATTTAACCTGAGATTAGTGAAACCCGACCCGTCATGTCATTTGACCCGCCACGTCACTCAACCCAACTCTTCAACAGAACCGAACCCAATATTTGAACCCAATCCCCTCTTCCCTTCTCCAATCTCTAGCTCTCTCGATGGTGAAAACATCGTCAACCAAATCATGGCTCTAGAACCCCTTCGGGACAAACGTTGAAGATGTCCCAATGGGGTTCTTGAACTCGCATGCCTCCATGGAAGAGAACTCGGAGATCTCGGTGAGCTCCTCTTTCACCACCCAGAAGGATACCCAATGGAAATCGCGAGTAATGGCCGATCCCTCCGCGGTTCCCACCCTCCAGTTCCAACCGACGAAGAATTCCAACAAGGTGAGGTCTTGGAGTGTCTAGGTTGGCGACAAGATGATTAGCGATGATATGTGAAAGGAATCCAGATCTGGCTTCATCGAGAAATCCAAATCCACTTTTCATTTTGGTTGGATTTATTAAATTGGAGTCAAGGAAGCACTGCAATTATTACCGCTTGCACCACCTTCTGGAATCTTCTCTCTTAGTCACACCAATTGTTGCCTCTCTCCATAGATCTTCGCACCATTTCAGTGAGCATTGTCGACCTCTTACTCGTCGCTTCAACTTCCTCGTTGCCGGACAAAAGAAGGGTTCAACCAAATCAAGCAAATCGCCACTTTGGAATTGGGAAGGAAAAATATTGGCATTAAACCATGCGTCGGGCGAGAGCAGCTGGCTAAGGAGTCTAAGTCGCCGATTTAGATCTCCAGCTGTAGAGATTTCAATGACCACTGACGAAGGAAAGGGGGAGCCCGATTGGAGGATGACGAGGGAGTGAGTGGTTTTGACGGTGACCTGATTCTCACTGCAACAATTTCGGCCTATTAGGACAAATTTTTTTTTTGTCATTTTATGTTTGTCACAATAGGTACGATGATATGACAAAAATAATATATGTCATATTTGGTATGCCTCATGTGACAAAAAAATTTGCTGTCAGAATAAGTCGTCATTTAAATTGAGTAATGTGACAAATAATTCACGTCACAATTAATTTTGTAAAAAATAGGCATCCTATTCGAGATATAAGAGACACAAACGTGACAAATTATATCGCCAAAGTAGCTTTTTTCATATTATGTCTTCCTGAATTGTTTAAATGACAAAGTATTATCTCACAATAAATAGCAATAATCCCACGACGAGATGACAAAAGGGCATGTTCGTTATAATATAGTGGTTTCGTCTTTGACGAAAGACATGTTCGTCATAATATATTGGTTTCATTTTTGACAAAAGGCATTTTCGTCAGATTTGCTTTTGTTAGACTGAAACCAATCAGCGCGGTCGACACATTTTTTCCCCACCCAAATTTCAGTCTCGTCCAATTTTTTAATTATCCACTTATAAATCTCTCTCATTTTTTAGACCTCAAATTTCAGCCCGCCCAAAACTTGAAATTCCTTCTCCCCCAACAAAACTTTCATTTACCCTAAGACCTCACTCCTTTTCCTCCTCTTCACTTCTCTTCTTTTCATTTACCCTATGACCCCAGTCGACGTTTCCTAACCGATCTCACTCCTTGCCCATTTTAATCTCGTTTCTTCGCATGTTAAAAAAAAATTCTTCTCTCTACCTTGCCTTTGCTCATTCCACGACGACTAGAGCAATGGCCGGTGGCGACGAGTGATGGGCGAGAGGGCACAACGGAGGGGATGGAGGCGATGACGAAGCAGTGGAGGATGATGAGGCAATGAGATCACTGGGCAACACAATTACTAATGGTGAAAGCAGGGTGATGCAGATCTGTCTTTCTAGCATCGAAAGCAGAGGACGGCGGCGACGAAAGCAGCAGCAACCTAGAGGTGCGGAGCTCGCCGTCTCTTTGCTTCTCCAGCCGATTGATGGCAAAAATAAGATTATCGGATTGGACATCGACTCTACTGGTGGATGAGGCCATGTGATTGAGCTCTAAGACTGTTATCATTGTTCTATGTTCTTGATATGTACACCTTCTTCCCGCTGCTTTTTTATTTGTTTTTCCAGCTTGTGATCGACAAAATTTGCAGTTAAAGCAAATCTTGTTTCTAGGTTTTGTTCGGTTTGATTGCTTTGGAAAAGGGTTGAGGAAAAAAGACTTGTTAGATTAGGAAAGCCTATTCATTTTTTTCTTCTTTTTCTGGCAATAGTTTCTAATGAGTGATGTCGACTTTGTTTATATATGTTCAGTGGGAAGAGAATAAAATCTTTTCATTCCTGATTTGGGGATGCAGAGAATTGTTTTATATGTCAAGGGTATTTGTTTGGGTAGGGTAGTTTAGACGTGGTGTTTGACCTTCATATTTTTTTTAATAACCTAATTGAATGGACCGTCACTATGCCTGCTGAATCTTCCACCTCCAATTTCATGTTTAGGTGGCTCTCTAAAGGGTTAAGCTTTACGCTTGATTTGGATGGTGTGGCTTGTGAATAACTCGAAAGTCTATGAGCCATAAGAAGTCAGGTAGCTTTTTTACAGACTTCTTTCTAAAGCCTTTTTTCTTTTGTATGTTCATGTAGTCTAAGTCTCTGAAGCATATGGCTTCTAGAACTTCTTAGAATATTCATACCACCCTTCATCAAGCAACGATATTGGTTTATCTCACTATTTTCAAGATGTTTTGATTTCGGGAAAAGTTCATGACTTTTTCTTCCCTCCCCTCCCCCCCCCCCCCCTATTCAATTGCTTCCATTCATTCTAGATAGTCCAAGAAGTGTCAAACAAGTTCAGTATATCAGAAAGATTGATGGAGAATGAAGAGTTCGAAATCCAAATTGTCCAAAAGCTGCCAATCCTTACCATGAATGTGGCAAATATAGTACTAATAATCCTGCTGATGCAAACTTTGTCGACATTGATAAAGATGAGCGTTTTTGTTTCTCCTCTTCCTCAGAATGTTGATTCTTGTTATTATGACTTAATACTGCCAAGGCTTAGAAATGGATCCTTCTGAAATCATAAGTGAGACTAGGGAAAGAGTTCTCTTAGTCGTTTCTTAATTCCTTAAGATTCATCTGAATAGAGGGTACTTTGCCGATGATCTGGATTCCTCCCATGCAAAGATTCATTGCTGATGATCTTCACTGTAAAGCCCGACAATGTAGTCCGTTTGGATAGAAGCAAAGGCAGAGGGGAAACTTGTATAAGGCCGTGAGACTGTTAAGAAGGTTCGGAAAAAAAGGTGAAGTATGGACTGAAGGATAACCCAAGATCCGCAAAGGAGTTAGAATGTTTTGTGTCATTGTGGACAATTTAGAATGTTTGGTTATGTTGAACAAGGAGTTAGAGCTGCTATGAAAATGGTTGTAATGTTTTGGATCTTTGGTAAGTTTCCCATTCCAATTGTGGGGGATCACAATTCAAACAAAAACATAAGACGACACATGATAACATCTAAATCACAAGACATAAGCAAGTAAACTGCCACTGAAAACTAATAACTATCATCAAATTCACTCACAATTAAAGATCAAAGAAAAAGAAAGACGTTTTAGGAGAAGGGAGCACTAATATTGGTTGCTAAAGATGGATGGGTTAAGTATTAAAACTACCCTCAACTGCTTAATACAAACAACTATCATCCCCCACAAGAAGAAAAACCTTGCCTTGAATCCTATTATGCCTATTATCAAGTTCAGGACTCGGCATTTACTCATTCGGTTGTAACAATTCATTTTCTTACTAGGATGATAATCTGGAAGAGATTCATGATGGCCTTTTATTATCTACGTGATTATGTCTATGAGTCTAGTCTTAAATAGAGAATTTTTGTTAATGGGTATTACAGGTAACCGTACTACTAGAGGTGGCAATTCTCAATCCAATCCACCAACCCATTAAAAATATCCACCTAATTCAATCCATATAAATCCAATCCATTTGATCCAAATTCAATTGGATTGGTGGATTCATGGATTGATCCATGAATCCAAATGGCAAATTACGGTTTGGTACCTATACTTTTTTATATTTTACATTTTGGTACCCAAAATTTGATTTTTAATAAGAAAAATATCATTGGAAAATTATGTTTTGGTACCCAAAAATTTTCATTATGATATTTTAGTACCTAAACTTTTCAAATTTTACACATTGGTCATTGGTTGAGGATGTTATTTGGATTCATGGATAATCCACCAATCCACTTGATCCAATCCATGAATACAATCTATTTGATCCATGGATCAATCCATTTTCCACCTCTACATACTACTCAAACGGATATTAACGGGTAACCCGCGGGTACCCAATATAGAAATTATCGATCCCAAGTCCCATCCCGTATAAAAAATTACGGGTATTTGGGTACCTATAACTCTTAAAAAAGGGACGGGTATGAGTAGACCCAAATACCTGTTTCCCGTTGCCCACCCTTATAGCCACGTCAGCAAATAACTAACGGTTCTAACGGATTTTTTATACGAAAAATATCATGGGAAAATTATGTTTTGGTACCAAAAAAATTGAGTTAATGCACAATGTAGCCCTTGAACTATCACTTTTTCCTATTCAAGCCCTCCAACAATTTATTTTCCTATCAGGGTTCCTTAAATATTTTATTTTTCCTAATCCAGCCCTGCCGTTACTTTTCTAACAGTTTGACGTTAATAGAAATAGAAAAAGACAAAATTGTCCTTAATAAATTTAAAGAGAAAATCATTTAAAAAAAACAAAGCCTCACGTTTTACAACCCGGCCCCCACTGCTTTACTCATTTCCTATCAGAAGCTCAGAACTCTCCACCTCTGTGATTGTCTTCTCCTGTTTCCATGGCCGGTTCGGAAAACCGGACTGGCAGCGGGCTTGATATTCTCTTCTATATCTCGCCGTTGTTGTCAACTCAAATTCAGCACTTAGTTACTACCCATCGTATAGAATGCTATGGGGAATTCTATTGTGTCTCTTATTCACAAGCTTCTTGTAAAAACTAGTTGATGCATAGTGTAAAAAAGTATAACCATCATCAACGGGAAAAAGCATAACCATGATTAATTAAGAATTGAGAATACATAATCATAATTAATTTAAACTTGGTTGACAGTATCCAGTGGTGAGTGGTGACAAAACCAACATCATCTAGTGCAAACAAAAAAATAAGCATCATCCATTTGAGTCATTCCTCCCCCTTCCTCTTCCACGTGATGCACCAACTCTTCTTACTTGTCCATTTCTCCTTCCACGTGAAGCACCAGTAGCACGAGCACCAACGCCTCTTTCTTGTCCTCTTATTGTTCCACCTGAAGCACTAGCATTAGCAGAAGTAATAGAACTGGAACCCTGTTACCATGGAAAAAAACACACACACACACACACCCTCCATATAAGAAACTAGAATAAAGAATGAGCAAATCAATCACATAATAATTAGCCAACTCGATTTCTTAGGTTAACCTCTTTCAAAGTGCAGGTGCGTGAATTATGACCTTCACATTTGCATTTGGAACAAATAATGATACGCCCCATCCTGCCTAATTTGTGAGGTCTTGTCTTGTGTTTTTGTAGCAGTTCATCGGCTGTCAACCTTCTCTTCTTCTTTGGCCTACCAGGCATAGGCCTGTAAGTCAGTGGTTGAATTGGCTCCAAATCAACAGGAAACCATTGTCTTGGTCCTTCCATCCCTGGCATTGTGTTAGAGTATGTTCTATTGTACTTGGCTATAGAATACCATTATGAAATGAAAGTGATCGGATCCTTTCCTTCACAGACAAGACACGTGATCGCATGCGGGCCAGGGATTCCACTCAAATCCCAAGTCCTGCATGTACATGACTTTTGCCCAATCTTGACCTTGTACCTCTCCTCCCCATGATCAACTTCATACTCTTGATTCCCACAAGTTATGACGCGACACATCCTGCTTTCGTAGGCGTTAGTCTGGTACTTTTTCATTAGCTCCGGGCATATCTCATTCTTCCATTTACCAGCCATTTGTTGCTTCTTCACAATTCGCTCAGTGGTGAGACGTCGAATGTCATCAAACAAGCTATAAGGTGGTTTATGTCTCGCCTCAAGAATGCTTGCATTGAATGTCTCTGACATGTTGTTGTCGACGCAGTCACATTTCACCGCCGTTGAGAAGAAAGCTTTGCACCATTGCTCTTTTGGAACACGAACCATGTCCTCCGCCGCTTGCTTGTTTATGGACTCCAACTTTTTATAAGCTTGATTGAATTTGATGACTGTGGGAGACTTGGCACATTCCCAAAAAATGTGCTGCCATTCTGGATTTTTGTACTTTTTCCTCCAATTACAAAAAATATGACGTGCACATAAACGATGCTCCGCCATTGGTAAAAGATCTGCTATGGCTGGAATTAAACCCTGAAAAGACCAGCCATGTCAACTCACCGTTACTAGGCTCTTCGCCACATTCATATATATCTACATAGGACAAATAGTAAAGACAAATAACGAAAAGAGCAACCAAAAAGCATAAGATCATTCTTTGGACATCGTACCTTTTGTTGGTCTGAAATCAAAGTCCAACCTACTCCATTTTCCAAGAGCAAATCAGAACCCAATAGTTCCAAAAACCAAGACCAGGAATCTTTTGACTCCACCTCAACAACAGCCCAAGCTACAGGATACATCTGGTCGTTTGCATCTCGGCCTATTGCAGCCAATAACTCACCCTTGCATAACCCTTTCAAGAAACAACCGTCCAAACCAATAACTCGCCGACAACCTTCAAGGAACCCCCTCCGAAGTGAAGCGAACCCAATGTACATGCGTTGAAAAATGGGTTTATTATCTGGATTACCACGATCTACCTGGATCTTAACAGTTGTTCCAGGATTTGCCTTCCTCATCTCCTCCGCATACGTCCATAAGAGAGCAAATTCATCAGCATAACACCCTGCAGTTTTCTGCAACACTAGCTTCTTAGCACGTCCTACAAGAGAACCATACACATCTGACCCT